AGTCGCAAGTTTTGCCTTCCCTCAAACATGCGCGCGTTTGTTTTGTGCGTGACCACCCCGCGCATTAGGCTGGTTAAGATTCTCGCGCATATCCTTTGTTCCTCTCCTCTTGCGTCCTCGCGCGTTCAGCAATGAGACCCAGTCGTGTTTTCAGTCTTTAGCTTAAAGCTTACTTGAAAGGTTCAAGTTTTGACCCTCTCTGTAATGTCCGCACGGGTGTTTCACACGCGACCATTCTCGCATTAGACAGAGCATGGGTATAAGACTCTCGGGCGTTGTGTTTTTCCCTCTCATCGGGCGTCCTCGCCCGTTCAGCCAAGTGACCCACTCGTCTTTTCGGTCTCGTGATCTCTTAGACATGTAAGAGCTCATTTCCCACTTTCAAGATTTTGCATTCCCAGCTATACCTAGTTCATTTAGAACATGACGTTTGTGCTGTGCCCTTTTTCATAGATTTTGGGCATTTTTGTCCCCAGAAAGCCCATATAGACACTAAAGCTTATTTAAAAGGTGCAAGTTTTGGCTTACCCTCAAACATCCACGCTTGTATTTCACGCGTAACCATCTTTCAAATTGCACAGAATGTAGGTTTGAGATTCTTGTGCGCTCTCCTCTATCCTCTCCTGTCGGTTCCTCGGTCATTCAGCGAAGTGACCCACTCGTGTTTCAGCTCCCCAGAACTCTGAGACATGTAGGAACCTATTTCCCCTCTTTTCACATTTTGCAATCCCAGCTATATAACTAGCGTGTATTTTACGTTCGTTTACAACATGACGTTTGTTTCCTGACAGCCAAGCGACCCACTCGTGCTTCAGCTCTCCAGAACTCTGAGACCTTTAGGAACCTCTTTCCTCTCCTCATGCATCGTCGCGCGTTCAGCCAAGTGACCCACTCGTGTTTTCCGTCGGGGGATTTCTGAGGTACATAAGATGTGATTTCTCCTCTTTTAAGATTTTGCAATCCCATCTTCACTTAGCGTGTATTGCACGTTCGTATAGAACATGCTGTTTGTTTGTTCCCTTTGCTGATAAATCTTGGCGGTTTTTTCTGTCCATGAAGCCCACACAGGGCTTTAAGCTTATTTAAAAGGTGCAAGTTTAGACCCTCCTTCAATCATCCGCGCGCATGTTTCACGCGTGATCATCCCTCGATTTAGACAGAACGTTGGATTAAAATTCTCGCGCCTTCTTTTTTTTCCTCTGATCGTGAATCCTCGCGCGTTTGTCAAGTGACCCACACGTGTTTTAAATCTCGGGATCTCTGAGAGATGTAGGCGCTGATTTACCCTCTTTTCAAACTTTGCAGTCGCAGCTATAATTAGGGTGTATTT